GATTGACAGGCCTGTTTTATGGTACTTGTTTTTGTTATTCTTTTTATACATGTATTAATATTTTAAAGAACAATCATCAACAGAAGAGATAACGAAAGGAAAGAAGGAGGAGGTGGCGAGGATGAGAGAAGCAGGGAGGGGGAAGGTAGAGGCAGGGGAAAGATGACGGGAAATGAAAAAGAAGAGATAAGAAGTGTGGAAGAGAGAGAGAGAGAGAGACAGAGAGAGAGAGAGAGGGTGGTAGGTGAAATATTTTTGGGGAAAATGATCTGAGTAACTTTCCAACCAGTTAGATAAAGATGATTAAATACCAAGTGTGTGTGTGTGTGTGTTTTATAAATATTGAAAGCTTGATGTCCAGGTTACCTTACGACAAACTTAGTGAGGATTAAGGATATGGACCAACAAGGCATGAATACACAGTGAACATAACTCAGTGTGGAAGGTATTACTTGGTCTGTGTACTTGCTTACCTACTTACTTTCAGACCTACTTTCTTACTTACCTATTTACTTACCCACTGACTTACTTACCTACCTACCTACTTAATTACTTACCTACTTACTTACTTACCCTAACTGTTTCATATCGTTAGGGTTCGAAGCTGCTTCACTGCGGGAGGGAGCGAACCTTTGACTCCCGGCTGTCCAATAACTCCAGTAATAGGAGTCGAACAGTTTAAAGACACACACACACACACACAGACTCACACACACACACAGACTCACACACACACTCATACACACTCATACACACACACACACACGCACACACAGTTGATGGAGATGCAACACGAGAAGACTTATTATATTTACTGATCTATGAATGCTGTATTGTGAAAGTGGTGAATCGTAAGTCGCGGGTAGTTTTAAGTGCACACACACACACACACACACACACACACACACACACACAAACAAACGAGCACTTTCACTCTCAGATATACAAAAATACCTTCTCTCTTTCTCACTTTCACATAAACACACAATTTCTCTCTCTCTCTCTCTCTCTCTCTCTCTCTCTCTCTCTCTATCTCACACAAACAAATTTTCTCTCTTTCACACATACACACAAAAAACACCATCTCTCTGTCTCTTCCACACAAACAAACCTTTCTCACACAGACACACACACAAGTTAGAAGCCTCGTAATGTGTTCTACCATCGTCAGTAAATCAGGGAAAGCGAGTGTGCACTACGGTAATTGTTGCAGGTCTGAGCACTGTATGTTAAGTTCCTCACGATGTTTATAGAGTCCCCTGGTGTTTGTGTTTATAGAGTCCCTTGGTGTTTGTGTTTATAGAGTCCCTTGGTGTTTGTGTTTACAGAGTCCCTTGGTGTTTGTGTTTATAGAGTCCCTTAGTGTTTGTGTTTATAGAGTCCCTTGGTGTTTGTGTTTGTAGAGTCCCTTGGTGTTTGTGTTTATAGAGTCCCTTGGTGTGTGTGTTTATAGAGTCCCTTGGTGTGTGTGTTTATAGAGTCCCTTGGTGTGTGTGTTTATAGAGTCCCTTGGTGTGTGTGTTTATAGAGTCCCTTGGTGTTTGTGTTTATAGAGTCCCTTGGTGTTTGTGTTTATAGAGTCCCTTGGTGTTTGTGTTTATAGAGTCCCTTGGTGTTTGTGTTTATAGAGTCCCTTGGTGTTTGTGTTATAGAGTCCCTTGGTGTTTGTGTTTATAGAGTCCGTGTTTGTGTTTATAGAGTCCCTTGTGTTTGTTTGTATAGAGTCCCTTGTGTTTGTGTTTATAGAGTGTTTATAGAGTCCCTTGGTGTTTGTGTTTATAGAGTCCGTTGGTGTTTGTGTTTATAGAGTCCCTTGGTGTTTGTGTTTATAGAGTTCGTTGGTGTTTGTGTTTATAGAGTTCGTTGGTGTTTGTGTTTATAGAGTTCCCTTGGTGTTTGTGTTTATAGAGTCCCTTGGTGTTTGTGTTTATAGAGTCGTTGGTGTTTGTGTTTATAGAGTCCCTTGGTGTTTGTGTTTATAGAGTCGTTGGTGTTTGTGTTTATAGAGTCCCTTGGTGTTTGTGTTTATAGAGTCCCTTGGTGTTTGTGTTTATAGAGTCCCTTGGTGTTTGTGTTATAAACATTAGTGTTGTGTGTTGGTAGACAGATGTTCAATAGTGGTGGTAGAGCGGTGTTCAATAGTGGTGGTAGAGCGATGTTCAATAGTGGTGGTAGAGCGATGTTCAATAGTGGTGGTAGAGCGGTGTTCAATAGTGGTGGTAAGCGATGTTCAATAGTGGTGGTATAGCGGTGTTCAATAGTGGTGGTAGAGCGATGTTCAATAGTGGTGGTATAGAGGTGTTCAATAGTGGTGGTAGAGCGATGTTCAATAGTGGTGGTAGAGCGATGTTCAATAGTGATGGTATAGAGGTGTTCAATAGTGGTGGTAGAGCGGTGTTCAATAGTGGTGGTCTAGAGGTGTTCACTAGTGGTGGTATAACCGTGTTCAGTAGCGTATGTATGTGTGTGTGTGTGTGTGTTAAATGCTATGTAGTATTGTATTGGAGCGCGGGACCTAGTTTACACACCCCTCCCCTGGCTGCTGTTCACTTCCGTAGTTATTTGCCATGTATACGCCTCACCCCCCCTGCCTCACTAGTCACTATGACCCATAAATAATAATAAACAATAAATCATAATACATTGACATAGTTTATCAAATTATATCGAAATGGGTTTTAACGCATCCAAGAGTTAGGTATAAATTCGACTGTAAAATTAATTTTGATTGGTAATAATGTTTGAGTCTATCACATCTCTCTCTCTCTCTCTCTCTCTCTCTCTCTCTCTTTCTCTTTCTCTCTCTCTCTCTCTGCAAGTGGACAAGATCCAGCCAGGACAGCCAATCACGAGGACTCTTACAGATTGACCCTTAGCCAGTATTGTTGTCACCTATGATGTGTTTTGTTTTGGTATTATACAAGGAAGTTTACGCTGAGAATAGGAGTATAAAGGGTAGTGTAGAGGGTGTAGGGGGTGTATGGTTCAGTAAGGTAGGGGTGTATGGTTCCAGGGAGGTGTTGGGGTGTATGGTTACAGGTAGAGGGTGTAGGGGTGTATGGTTCACAGGTAGAGGGTGTAGGGGGTGTATGGTTCTGGTAGAGGGTGTAGGGGGTGTATGGTTCACAGGTAGAGGGTGTAGAGGAGGCAGGGACAGACCACACAGGTGAGATGATGAGAGGGAGGTGGAGAGAAGACGACATTGGGTACAGGTGAATGACTAACTATAGGGCGCATGGTGTGGAGTGGTGTTGTGGTAGGTGTGGTGTTGTGGTAGATGTGGTGTTGTGGTAGATGTGGTGTTGTGGTAGGTGTGGTGTTGTGGTAGAGGTGGCGTTGTGGTAGAGGTGGCGTTGTGGTAGGGTGGCGTTGTGGTAGATGTGGTGTTGTGGTAGATGTGGTAGATGTGGTGTTGCGGTAGATGTGGTGCTGTGGTAGATGTGGTGTTGCGGTATATGTGGTGCTGTGGTAGATGTGGTGTTGTGGTAGATGTGGTAGATGTGGTGTTGCGGTAGATGTGGTGTTGTGGTAGATGTGGTAGATGTGGTGTTGCGGTAGATGTGGTGCTGTGGTAGATGTGGTGTTGCGGTAGATGTGGTGCTGTGGTAGATGTGGTGTTGTGGTAGATGTGGTAGATGTGGTGGGTGTGGTGTTGCGGTGTGGTGCTGTGGTAGATGTGGTGTTGTGGTAGATGTGTTGTGGTAGATGTGGTGCTGTGGTAGATGTGGTGTTGTGGTAGATGTGGTGCTGTGGTAGATGTGGTGCTGTGGTAGATGTGTGTTGTGGTAGATGTGGTGCTGTGGTAGATGTGGTGCTGTGGTAGATGTGGTGCTGTGGTAGATGTGGTGTTGTGGTAGATGTGGTGTTGTGGTAGATGTGGTGTTGTGGTAGATGTGGTAGATGTGGTAGATGTGGTAGATGTGGTGCTGTGGTAGATGTGGTGTTGTGGTAGATGTGGTGTTGTGGTAGATGTGGTGCTGTGGTAGATGTGGTGCTGTGGTAGATGTGGTGCTGGGATAGACGTGGTGCTTGTGTGTGTACAGAGGAGGAAATTAGATCACAGTGACCGGGATCACTTGAGCAGAACATGACTGGTGAGGCAGACAGCGAACGACAGCGGAAAAATTCGTGTGAATAATGACCTGCCACCCTGCGCTAGCTGAGAGGGTGTTGTTAGAGTGAATCACAAAAAATACAATCTTATATAATTTATATATAAATACATACAAACCTGATAGAGGTGTTAGTCGGCGGAGGTTCACAGCTGTTTTGAACACTTGCGGAAAGCGGGGCTGGTGGCACCTGTGGACGACTGTAGCAGTGCAGCAGCGCGGGGGAGCTGCTCACTGCAGCCTCTTACTTGGTCGCCAACCATTTCAGTGGGAAAACAGGACTGAAATAATGTACAAACGTATTAAATATTTTAAGTTATATCTAAGTTATTAAAATCAGTAATCATATCTTGATAATTTCAGTTAAATTAAAATTTTTGATCGAGTTGTTGAGAAATATTAATTCCTGAAACTGAATATCATCCTGAAACTCAAGTACCCGCTGGTGTACTGTACCTCAGGCCAGGTCATAACACGTAGTAAGGTCACCTCTTACCTGAAGGTGCAGTAAGAGAGGAGACTGTATCAAAGTTCTTTCATCTAAATCAATAGAGACATAGAAGAATTAGAATCTTTCGTATTTATTGTCACGTGACTAAGGATAGTGGAGTAACTTGCACGAAAAGCGGCAAGTAAAGACTGAACAGTGAAATCTGGAATGAACTGGCAGAAAGTTGCCATAGCTAGCTAGCTATATTATGAATTAATCTCTCAAGAGAATACAAAAAAGCCTTAGACACTAATAATTGGATAAATGAGACACAGTAAATTAATTACTCATAGAAGTGAATGGACCAAATAAATGTGAGAAGAACTGAAAAGAATAGTCAGAATAATTTTCTAGAAGCGACATTAACTATAGAAAACGGGTCCAGCGGAACGGACTAAATCGATAGCAAACTGGAGCTCCCGCCATATTGTGGTGCGAGTGAATATCTGTGCATTACTTCAGAGTGTGCGGTAGTGAGCGGTTGTCAGCGGTGTCGGTATTCCGCTGTGTCGAGTGTATTCTTTCCCTGTGTTGGCTGAGAACGGTGTACACAAGCCCCTGAGAGTGTGAATTGGATGTGTAATTCGAAGAAAAAGTTGGTCGTCTGCTAACTGCAAACTACGCGGAAAAATAAGGTAAGAAGTGACATTTTGACACTTGGGTTCATGTCTGCTCCACGGGATACCACTTTATCAGCGGCACCTTATTTGCTGGGATGTCTTATCTTGATTCATTAGTGTTCTCTGGGGGATTTATATCAACACCAGCCAGCGTAAAGGACATTTATTAAAGAGGTAGGTAGAGTGAGTGGGTTAGTAGGCGCTTCGCACATCTTGAATGACCCAGTGTAGGCGATAGAGTCTTACAGGTCGACGTAAACGAGAAGAGGTTCATTAAGCAGGGTGCGGCGTGAAGAGGCTGTGGTAGTGTGTGTGTGTGTGGACATCAGTATCAGTTACTATTGTGCGAACTTCCTGTGATAACTTAACATCCGCACCACCACACTCCGCCTCGCCCTGTGTACCCCTATAACACAAACATTGTTTTCTCAACTCTTAATATACATTATTACGTTTGTACAGCGTGAATCACTGGTGTGGTGGCTGCCAGGCACCACGCAACACCTAGTTGTCCTCTCAGGCTGAAGTAAAGTTCTCTCTTTACTGAACTGAGGAACATTACAGTACGCGTCAAGATTAAAGGTAAACACATCCGGTAAACAAAGTGGTATCCCTGTGTTATGCGGTGCAGTATTGTTAACGTATAAAGATCATTTTGGAGGACGTTGGTGCCGGACCAGGGCTGTGGTAGTCACCAGCCTACTTGTTTATTGATCATAATAAGGCATTTTGGGGCCCTTGGGTCTGCCTCTACCAACACCAGGTGCGTCTCGCTTCCACGTCTTCCACATTTTCTCTCCTTTTGATATATATATATATATATATATATATATATATATATATATATATATATATATATATATATATATATAGAGTTGTATGTAGTTATTCCTCATGTTAAAGATATTTCAGTGTTAAGAGTGTGTCGATGGAAAAAAGGAAACTAGCGACAGTAATTGCCACACACAATTGTTCAGTTATTAAGTTTTGTTGTGATGTTGAGTTAATATAACAGTTGTATTTCACTTCAGTTCAGAGTGTACGGAAGACTTGTGCATCTTGTGGTTAAACACATTTCTTGTTTTTATTGATTATAAACTTGTTTTTTGGAGGTGCCTTATTAACACATTACAGTGATTACATCGTCCAACGACGGTACTTGTAACGGTAAAATTATGTCTATGAATCAATACAAGTAACGCGAATATTAATGCATGTTGTTGTGTACACCCGGCAACACATTTATTTCCTGATAGTGAGGGGGGGGGGGGGAGGAAGACAGCGAGGATGGGGGAAGAGGGAGGAAGGAAGGAGGGAGGAAGACAGTGAGGAAAGAAGGAGGGAAGAAGACAGTGAGGAAGGAAGAAGGGAGGGAGGAAGTATTATACCGCAAACACCGAGGAGCCTTGACTAGGAAGCTATTATTGAGGTAGGTAGCCTAAGTAATACCTGTCTGTCTGTCTGTCTGTCTCTTGTCTGTCTTTATCGAACTGACAATCGCCAAGTGCGTGTTAAAAGGTTGTCACATCTCGGCGAGGTTCCGGGTAGAGGGTCAAGGAGGGATTTTGGAGGAAGAGAAGGGCGGGGATTTGGGAGGAGTAGGGGAGAGCTGTGTTGAGGAGGAGGGGGAAGGAAGCTTGGAGGAGGAGGGAGGCAGGATTTGAGGAGGGGGGAAGTGGATTGGGAGTGAGTGCAGGAGAGCCAGGGGTGTTTTGGAGGAGGAGAAAGGGCGGGATTTGAGGAGAGTCGGTGATTTGGAGGGGGCGGGGTTTTGGAGGAAGGAGAGGCGGGGATTTGGAGGAGGAAGAGGAAAGGGGGCGGGGATTTGGAGGGAGGAGGAAAGGGGGTTGGGATTTGGAGGGAGAGGCAGTGATTTGGAGGAGGGGGGGCTGGGTTGTAAAAATTGAAGATAAAAGTATTAGGGAAATGTATGTCAGTCAGATGGAGGAGGGAGGGAGGAAGAGGGTGGTGAGGGAGGGAGGACTATAACAACTACAGAGTTTCCAAAACAAGTGTTTGAGGTCAGCCAGTGGCCAAGCGTCACCCTACCAGGAGACAGTGTAAACCATCCACCTAAGAAATAAAACAGAGGCACTCAACGTCAGGTTCCATCGCCTAGGGAAGAAGGTTTGGGACAAGCTCCTGGACGACCCTCACAGCCCAGACCACCTACGCGGGGAAGACATCAACGGAGGGAGACCCCACGCCTGGTGGCCCCGGAGTCTGCCCGCACTACAACAACCCAACCAGCGACCCATCTATGTCCGCCACAGTGATCCACCTTACATTAAAACTTAGATGATATAAGTTCACACAAGTCACAATCTAGAGTCCATAACGTAATACAGTATAAGATTTTTAATAAACTTATAATTGTAAAATCAATCTAGTCATTGTCTATCAAAGTAACCATTGTGCAACCTCATTCTAAATCCTAGGTTAGCTTAGTTAGCCAACAAACTCTGTAATATGTAAAACAAGGGGTGTCGTCCCCCTCTGTTTAACTCATTAAACTTCTTTTCCAACCTTTCCCCCCACGACTATATGTTGTGACTTCTCCATCCCTCATGTCTGGCTGTGCCTTGAGCCCCAGCATGCCTTCCATCCTTTCCCCACCTTAACCTTAAAAAAAAGGGGGGGGGAGAAGAAACACGGTGGTCCTAAAATGTGGCCAAACATGGAGGAACATACATCTATCTATCTATCAGACTAACCCTTCACCCTTATCACTTCAAAGGTAAACACCCTTCACACCTCGCTGATAAGGAAGGCGAGATAGCCCAATATATATATATATAACGTACGTCGCGCCCTCTATATGTCATGTTATTAATAAATGAACTCTGGTATATATATATATATATATATATATATATATATATATATATATATATATATATATATATATATATATATATAAGGTGTGGAAGATGAATGCGTGGTTAAGTGTGGTGCAACGTCATAGGTGAAGTGTGTTGTATGTTGGAAATGTGTTTGGTGTTGTGGGTATTATTAGTAACACACACACAAACACACACACACACAGACACACCTGTATTTTCCTCCATATTCTTTACACTTTCACATCAAAAATTTCTGCAACATGGAGGTGTGGTCAGTTGCCTTATATTATCACCAACTATTTAATTAGTATTGAATTATTGGCTTATAACTATATTGAATATGTCGTAATGAAGCTTTTAAGTGAACACACACACACACAATGTTCATGTTTCTGTAACAATATGGCTGCCATGTCTGTCTGGCTGAGGTCTTATATCGTTCATTGTTGTTAGTTATGTTGTTGTCTGGTGGCGGTGGTCAGTTGGTCCCCTCATCTCCCCTTACACCTAGTCTTCTCCCTACCAACTTCTCTCAATTACCCTCTATCCCCAGCCTTTCTTCCCTCCATCACCCCTACGTTCCTCCCTACCTCCATCACCCCACCTTCCCTCCATCACCCCACCTTCCCCCCCTCCACCCCCTACCTCTCCATCACCCCACCTCCATCACCCCCACCTCCATCACCCCTACCTCCATCACCTCACCTTCCTCCATCAACACCTCACCTCCATCACCCCTACCTTCCTCCACTGCACCCCCCCACCTTCCTCCATCACCCCTCACCTTCCTCCACTCTCACCTTCCCTCCATCACCCCCACCTCCATCACCCCTCACCTCCATCACCCCCACCTCCATCACCCCTACCTTCCATCACCCCTCCATCACCTCACCTCCATCACCCCTACCTTCCTCCATCCCTACTGCCCTCCATCACCCCTACCCTTCCTCCATCACCCCACCTTCCTCCATCAATTTTTCACCTCCATCACCCCCCTACCTTCCCTCCACACCTCCCCTACCTCCACTTCACTCTCCACCTCCCACCTCCATCACCCCACCTCCATCACCCCACCTTCCTCCATCACCCCACCTCCATCATCCCTACGTTTCTCCATCACCCCTACCTTGCCTCCATCACCCCTACCTCCACCTACCTCCATCACTCCCTACCTCCATCACCCCACCTCCATCACCCCTACCTTCCCTCCATCACCCCTACCTTCCTCACACTCTTCCTCCCCCCACCCACCTCTACCCCTGCCCCACATATTCAAAATACAGAATATATGTAATGAGACGAACTTCAGGGCCATGGTGGTGCCGTGTTGGCCATCATCAGGGTATGGTTTCAGGGCCATGTTGGTACCGTGTTGGCCATCATCTGGGTATGGTCTCAGGGCCATGGTGGTGCCGTGTTGGTTCGTTGTCACATCACCAGTAGAGAATAAATTGTACACCAGCACCATAAAATCTGAGGCTGGGTATTATTGAGCCCCTCACCATGAAGGTTTGGTTAGGTCAGGTCAGGTCAGGTCAGGTCAGGTCACTCCCGGCGACCTGGACCACACGTGTTATTCCGACGACCTGGCCCACACGTTTCACTCTTTGGCGGCTAATTCCCCAGAGTAGTATTCCATGCCGTGCTTCTCTTGTCCTCTGTACAATGGAGAGTCGGCCGCAGTCATCACAGTGCAGACGCCAACACAAAACGACGTACTAGACCTGTTCACGTCATATCAGCAGCCACTGGCACCATCCCATCTTGCGTTGACCGATTCCTCTACACAAGCATTGCCCTTTCATCTTTTTACCTCCATCAACTTGAGTTTTAAGAATTTTCCATATAACCTCGATTTTTATCTTGGGAATTCAGTATTGTGTCGCTCTGTTGGTGAATTACTGTGAGTGAAGCTTCTCCCAATGTCTGGTGTGGTGGGTTCACTCCCTCTTGATCTCTCCACAGCCTCAGAAGATAGTGATTCTGGTCTGACTGAAATACTTCTTAGAGGGAACAAATTAGGTGTTCAGCGTCCCACATAAAGTGTAGAAGACCTCATGACCACCCCGGCACCATATTCCTTGAACTATATGACAGTATTAAAGTGTGTTATTCCCGAATGCCAAGAAGGTGGGAGACTACCATGGCCAGGCTTCGCATTGGCCCACTCTA